GCTTTACTAGGACAATATATTGTCTCCTTGCCAAAGCTCTCCCAACCACCTACTAAAGTAACAAACTATATTTCAGTTACTCTTTTTTTTTCTTCTTATTCCTATCAATGATATAGTTCACCAACATTATACATTTGGGAGTCACACTACCCAAAAAAAAGAGCAGTAAACAAATTTTTTATTTGACAATAACAGTAAACTAAAATTTGATACAAAAAAATTTCGTCTTATATATATTTACATAAGATTTGAAAGTGATGGTTGCTGCCTTGCTGGTATAGAGCTCGACGAATGTAGGGGACAAAATTTATAAGTTTTAAACACGAGAAAAAAATATAAAGCTTTCACGTGGCAGGATGTATTTGCCTACTGTCAACTTCAAAAACCTGGCAACTGCTATGCAGTTTCAGAAGACACGTGTCATGTGTCACACGCGCTTCGTGTTTTTTCTCTTCGATTTTTTTTTGTAATATGGGACCCACATAATTCAAATCATCGACTGCTATCTTTTTTTCATCAGCTCACACGTCAATACGTCATCCTATTGCTTGCCGCCACGTCCCAGAGAATTTTCCGCAAAAAGATGAGCTTCTCTCCTTTTTTTTCTGTTTAAATAGGGGTTTTTTTTTTTTCATCTAGGTTATTTTAATTATTTGTTTATTTCTCCCTCTGTTTCATATTATATGATGTTTTAGACATTTTGTTTTGTTTCACAATATAACATGTTCTATAAAAAAAAATACAAGTTTCTATGTCAAAAATTAAACTCATTCAATTTTTTGACTATTAATATTCAGCAGTAATTTTTATCATTGGTCAAATTATTTTTAGTTAGATATTAAGTTATGTTTTCAATGTAAAAATATACTAACCAAATAAATATTAATTGCTTTCTTAAATTTGTGATTTTATTCAAAACATCAAATATTTTGAAACAGAAAAAGTAATAATTTAATACTAATATGATCTAAAACCCATATTATTATGTAGGCACAATGATAAGATTCACTAGTAAAAGATGTGATTTTCGATAGTCACGCTTTACTACTGCACTACTATGCTATATATACGTCACATCCTTGCATTTTAGTAATTTTACTACATTTATAAAGTATTTTTGACAAATTATTGTTCTAGAAGTTCACAATTTTTTGGGGACAATTATTCGTTATATATGTAGATTAATTAGCTCAACTCGTCTCTATATACCAAAAGTATAGAGTTTCGTTTCGACAAGACTTCTATACAAATTCGATCTCAAGTCTCCATTTTGTACCATTTATATTTTTATTAGCTACATTTTAGTAGAAATTCATATCATTGATCATGTTATGTTTTCAGTATAAAAATTATGGTGAACGGGGTCCTAAACCTTCAATGGCAAATCTGTCTCATGATGATGATGATCCATCCATGATTTTGTGGTAAGATTGTAAAAATTGAGTCAATTTTTTTTTTATTAATCAACAACTTCAACTAATTTTCTTCAAAAGAGCATTCCTAGGGAATGTTATAAAAATGAGTCAATCCATAAAATAGAATTGTAATAATACTATAAGGAAAAAAAGAAAAAGAAATTATTACGAAATTAGTATTCAATAAATATCATCATCACATTACATAAACATTATGTTCTACGACGTAACAGTTTAAGCCCAAATTACAACTCTCGATCCTACTTAAACGCAGTAAATGAATGTTGACCAAAAAACAATCTTGGGTCAAGACATAAGTAAAGAATGTAACACGTGTCGTATATCGAGGAAGAAACAGGTTAGAGAGGGGTCAACATTTTTAATGTTAGAGAAGTGTCCCCAGTTTCCAA